AGTGGAGGGACAGTGAAATGAAAGCAACTACCCAGAGACACACACAGGAGGCATCTTCAAGTCTGCGCATTTCCAAGTACTGTGCTACTGGCCTTAAATACACAACTACCCTTCATCTCAGACTCTTGCATATTTTATTGGTAAGCATATTCCTAACAGAAATTATTCTCTACTTTAAACATCTCCATGAACATAGAGAAGCTCTAGTATGAGTAAGACAGTTGCTATTGCTATGTGCATTAGCACTCTGTAATATAAGTGGATATTCTTTCCCCTTGCGAAAACAAAGCCAAAGTCATCTAGTGTAGTTAATGCAGCCATGTAATTTTGTATTGCCTGCTGCATGGTCAGCAACTGTTCTGTGGCAATGCTAACTACTCTAACCAAATAGAAATGGCCCCTTTGTACACAGCTTAGCTCAAGCAGTAAAATCAATACAGACAGGATACAAATCATTACAAGCAATATTTGTACAGCAGGGGGAATTCATATTGGACAATACTGTTCCAAGTTTGCCACAGTGTTTTCATAAATCTAGCCCTTATGGCAAATAACTACAGAGACTCAACCATAAATTACCTAATTAAGCAAACTATTCTACTTTCTGACTGACCTTACTGGCAGGAACACTTTGCTGTCCAGCAACTGAACTGAAACATGATGTACACCTGAGATTACACTTACCTCAAGGAAACTTGCCAGACATATTCACAGATATAAACACTGTAACCTGTTACTTATTATTTGAAGAATAGGAATATATTATATTATACTATTATAATAACATAGTATATGTTATTATCCAAACTGGAGGGAATTCAAAGCAGAGGAAGGGTTTTTTTCAAAGATTTTTTTTCAGAGATGGAAGGGGAGAGAAGCTTGCATAATTTGCCTGAGTAAGGTTTGTCCTCTCATCCCTCCTCTGCACCATCTGTGCATCCACAGACTGTGCACAGACCATGAGAATGCAAGAGGATATGCAGAAATTCGTCTCATAGTGAACCTGCACTGGGCTACCACAAGGAATCCCCTGGCCTTGACATCATTGCTACATTGAGGGACACTTTTACAAGCACTTGAAGCTTGCTCTACCAAACTGAGACAGTGCCTTGGAAACTGGTGTGATGTAGAAACAACTTCTGGGCTGGTTAAATTATGTGAGGGCTATTGTTGAGCTCTGTAACAGCCCTGCTTGACACAAAAGAAATGAAAAACTCTTTATCTACAATCCACCCTCCCACCTGCACTGTGTTGGTTGTACAAGAAGACAAAATAATACTTTCCGAATTGTTGAAAGACAGAAAAAAATGGAAGCTGAAGAGAATTCTCTAAGTAGGGAACAAGTACTAGAAGTTGCAAAAGAGTAGGAGAATATTTTAAAGAGGAATGATTAGGTTAGGTAAAGCTTCCCAGAAGTGAGATACAAGGAAAATCTGTGGTGAAAGAACCTCAGCTTGTGAATTTAAAGTCAGACCAGTGACTCAAACTGCTCCTGGTAGAGGGAGGTAAAATCTTTACTTTGTCTCATGTTCTTTAATCTGGGAGTTACTTCTTTCAGCAAAGGAGTCCATTCCTCCCCTTCACTACTTCAAGTACTGTTCATTAATTTCTTCAGCAAAGGAATTGCTGGCTGGAATATTGACCCTTTGCTGTTTCTTGGCTGGGCAAACTGGCTACTGGGGGAAATGCTGCTTTTCAGTGCCTCTGCTCAGAAATACAGGCACTAGTTCTGAATTCTTCAGCATTTCTCAGACATGGACGGGGGTCAGCCACAAACACAGATACAGCGCTGTGGCTTTGTATTTAGGAGCTGGAATCTTTTGCCCCAGAGCTCTCACTGACCTGTAACTGCTTGAGTGAGAAGGCCAAGCTGCTAGCAGGAGTAGGGAGAAGGGCTTTTATCTTCTGTGGAGGTGGAGTGGTTCCTCCATTGTCTGAATAGCACTGTTACACATCCTGTAAGAATTTCTGTATGAAGGGTGGAGAATAGTGAGGTATAACGGGTTACGATTATTGTGTGTGACTGGCTCAAAGAAGGCAAAAATTTCTCAGTGTGTATGGGATTGTGTATGAATGTTTTTATCTAAATCAGTTTTATTTTTCTAACACAGGCTGTTGGTAAATCATACACTATTTTCCAGGGCCTACAAAAAGTGAGAAGGAAAGGCATAGCTACTGGGAATAAACTTAAATTTGCTGCACTGTGGTCTGGCTTTCCATTAGAAAGCCTTTAAGAGTGTCCATTCTGCAAAAATCTGAAACACCTAACCTATTTAGTAAATAGGCTCTGTTTAAGAAGAACAGGATGGCAAAAGTAATAGCTGAATAGAAAAAAAAACAAACAGTGACCTAGAACCCAGCATGTCTCTGAAGGGAGAAGATAATATCTTAGCTGACTCCACCTTCATCAAAATGCTACGTTTTTTTGCCAGATCTGGCAACTAACACATCACAGGATATAGAGTTAAGTGACCTGCTCTTTGGAGCAGAGGGGATTAGGAGGGGAGAAAGCTTTAAATAAGATTTGAAGAATTTTCCCCTTTGAGGAACTAGGAGAGAAATATTTTGTGAGTTAGAGGGCAGGATTAGCTGGTCAGACCCTAAAGCAGGACTACTCAAGCAATGGCTCCAGCACAGCTGCAAGGCAAACCAATTTTGATTGGGCTTTGCCAAAGCACAGGACAAGAACAAATAAAGAAGGGTGGCCAGCTACAAGGAGGAACTGGGACTGGGAACTATGAGCACTCTCTCCTCTTCATGCCCACAGACACATCCAAGGTGGGGGGACAATCTCGTTAGAAATTGTGTAACTCTGCCCACAGGTTTCAAGGCAGGGACTGTAGGGGATCTGGTCCCAAGATGTTCTGTCCTACTTTATAGTTTTTAGGTCTGTTCTGAGTCTTTAACAAAATTGGCACTGCCATTGCTGCCAGCAGAAACAGAGCTGCCTTGTCAAGGCTGGCCTGCTGACGTATTTGCAGTCTGCAGGAGGGGAAAGAGGGCCCTGTGTGAGGGTAGAAGTGCATGATTCAGTATTGGCTTATGGGGATGGTTAAAGGACTTGATAGCAAGACTCAGAGAATGCTCAGTGAGGCCACAAGAGGTCAAAAGTGTGTGTTAATCAGGAATCATGACACCCTAGAGGCAAGAAAACAAGACCATGGGAACACAGCTTCCCTGGGAATATCCATTATTTAAACTCTCTTCTTAATTCAGCTTGCAGAGAGACAAGGACCACTGAAAACAGCTCTGCTGAGCTCTTGATGATGGGACTCTGCCTGCATTATGATGTTGGAGTTTAGCCTTATAGGGTAAAGCAGTTGTTAGAATATATTTCTACTCCCATTCCTGCCAAATCTGTTTCTGCAAGTTGATGCTGTGGGAACCATGATACCTTGTTAGCATCCTGGGAACAAAAAGGTTAACCTCTTCAAATTTTAAAATGACCAGCCTCCCTTCCAACATTTGATTAGCAGGGAGTAAAAGGTAAACAACACAGTTTGCTTTGCACTGAGGCCAACTTTTTTGTAGTTTCTGCGACCACACTGAGGTCTCACAGTGGCCGACCGGACCCATCTTTGAACATGGAATATTGGATTTACTTCCTAGCATTGCAAACTCAGTGTTATATTTTTACATACACTCTAGAACATAGAAATAATTGGTATCAGTAATGTTGGTTTGTTACATTCTACTAAGCTGGAGAAAAAGAAAGGGAGCAAGAGAAAGCCTCCTTTTTCTGTAACTTTCATAGTCTGTTGCTGCTATTCCTTCTATGTTGTACATGAAAGCTGATTTACCCCCAGCTGACATTCACAGAAAGATAATATGGCTCTCAGCTTCACAGCTGAGTAAAACAGTTTACTTCTCTGTACATGACATCAGAACCGGTGCTTACCGGGGCAGTGCATTCACCAGTGAAAAGGGATCAAAATAAAGCAGCTTCAGTTCAAGTTGAAGGCAGGACAAGGTGGAGGCAGAAAGTTGAAAAAGTGAGCTCTGCCATATCCTCTCTCCCCTGAGAGGAGGGATGTCTGCTGTGGTCCAGACATCCCACACTGCAGCAATGTCAGCATACTCTTAGTGTAAACAGGGAGTTGAGTTCACTGGCATTGGCAAGCCAGTGATTTTAGGCATCTGCAACTTTGGCTCTAGATGGAGAGAGGTGAAAATGAGGGCAGAGTCAGGCCAAATACATTTGCCCTGGCTGGAAGCAGAAACCAGGCCTTCAGCATTTTGTTCAAGCTACACAGTAAAATCCTTCAGTGCAGCCTGTTCCAAACGCATGACACTCTGCAGAAATGAGACTGGGCATGCCTGCCAGGAGCCTTGAGGCAGATGCTCTCTCCTATTCACCAAGTCACTGCATCATCTCCTAGACCAAACTATGTTGTTGCCAGTATTCACAGATTCACCGAGATGCATCAAAGCTTCCCCCAGCAGAGACACTGAACTGCACAGCCTGCCACCGAGAGATTTACTCTATCTTCAGTGTATCGGGGGGAGAGGGGGTGTGGAACAGGCAGTGTACGTACACACACTCACCCACACATGCGCATGCGCGCAGCCCAAGGGAGGTAAGTCCAGCCCCCAACAGCAGGGCCATCCTTCTGCTGCTGGATTTTTCCAGCCAGAGCATCTTGCCGGCTCTGCTGTAATTTATGGAAATTGGTTTCTGACGTGGGGCTTTTTCTGTTACAACAGGGACCCACTGACTGGAGGAGGCAGAGCTGCAGTCACGGCAGGAGAAGAGAGGGAGAGGAAGAGGAAGAGCTGGGGAGCAGAGGGACACCAGGGGAGTGGAGAGGACAGAGGGAGAAAAAGGCACAGAGGCACTTCAGAGATGGGCGAGTGCAGAGAAAAGAAGACAAGGGGAGCTGTGCGGAAGGGAAAGGTAAAGGATCTTAGAGACTGAGTCAGCCTCAAGAGGGCAAACACCGGAGACAAGTGCAGGGACCCCCAGCATTCCAAGGAGGACCTGTTCTCTCTGAATCTTCATTATGAGCACAAGGAAGAACTGCCCCCTGCCACTGGGGCAAGGAGACCAGGAGGAAAAGCGGAGTGAGGACACTCCTGACCTGGAGCGACAGGAGTGTGAGGTGGAGCTGAGGAACAAAGCTATTCTGCAACAGAAGAGGCGCCTTAAACAGGCCACCCAGTTTGTGCACAAGGACTCTGCTGATCTGCTGCCCCTGGACGGCTTGACACGGCTTGGCACCTCCAAGGATCTGGTGAGTCCAGTGGGACCCCATTTGAGAGGTGGTCCTCCTAGCAGCCTTCATCCCAGTTGGGAACTGCTACCAGGCTTTGTGAAAGGGTCATGGGTTCAGCAAAGATGAAACTTCCCTTCAGCATCATCTAGGAGCAGGTCAGGGTGAGGGGAAAGAATGAATTGTCTATTTTTTTGCATCCATCTTCCCATGCATCCCCATAGGGACCAAACACCTTGCAGACATGGACTGGAAGGACTCCCCACGATCCAACTTTCCACTCACCTGGTATATAAATACAATCATCTAACATGTGAGATGGCTCTGAAAGCCCCCATATACCCCTGCATGATCCAGCTCAAAAGCAGACTCTTTCCTGGACTTAGCAGGGAGGGAAGCACAGCTCGTGAAACTCCAAGAGGCTTATGTTTGACCTTGTTACCTTTCTGCATTATTCTCTTTTCCCCTTCTCTTTGGATTTCCAGAGGGGCAAGCACAGGACAGGACCACCAGCCAGGCGTGCAGGCAGCTACAGCAGCCAGCACCGATGGGTAACATCTTTGGGGAGGAAGCATGGGACTCACTCCTTTGGACATCCCCTTGTGGAGGCATGGGGCAGGAGGCATCAGGGAGGTGATCTGTTCCAGGAGCCTGGGCAGTTTGTGGTCTGGAGGGACTTCCCCAAGGCAGGGAGCTGCTTCCCATGGGATCTCTTGCTGGCTTAACTGCACGCATCTCCCCCTTGCTCTAGCAGTTTTGCTGTCTAACTTCTCTCTGCTGTGGAGTTTAACTGCTCATGGATGCGGAGGTCTAAACCATTTTCCCAAAAGAGGGCCTGGGTCTAGCCAGTGATGTGGATGCAACCACTTATTCCAGCTGTGTCAGTGGATGTCATAAAAAATATTGCCCCTCCCTACAGCCCATGCTTCCCTCTGTATCCTCAGACCATTGCAGCAATGCCATGGATACTCGTGCATGTATATCTCCTCCGGTCATTTCCCAGCTCCCATGGCAGGCTCCATGGCTTCTGGGGGCAAGGTGCTGCTGTGCACAGGGGCTCACACGTGTGGGACAGGCAGGGTCCCAAGCACCAGGCCTGCATGGAAGCTATCCCCCTTGCTGAAATCTTCAGGGGCAGCGGGTCAGCTGCACGCAGATGAGGGGTCAAGTGCCACGTTCCCATGTCAGTGCACCCTCCTGCTCCCGCCACCTTCTCCTCAGCCAGCCAGCTGCAGCTGAGGGTCCCTGTCTCAGTGGGTTAAGGGTGGCTCCTCAGAGTCACCCTGAGCTGTCACCTTATGCTCTGCCAGCCCTTAACAGCCACACATGCAGCTTTCAGCAGGGACTAGTCCTCAGCATCCCTCTGGCCCTTAACACAGTCGCTGTCTGAAGTACAAGAGGGGAGTCACTGAAGTGATATGTTAGTGAGGAACAGGGCTTCTCCCCCCGCCATGGAGAAGGAGGTCTGGCCACACCAGAGCCCAGAGTTCAGGCTGGCAGCATGGGAGGCTAGCACTGGCCCTTCACGCCCTGCAGCGTTGCAGCTGAAGCATCTCCTCAGGAGGGGATATCCAGGCATCCCCCTGGGCTCTTCATTGTACAGCTTTTGGCAGGGAGTGGGGAGAAGCCACTTTTGAGTCTGTTAGTGCGTGTTTGCTGAGCCTGGCCATGAAGACAGAGAGAAACCTGTCTACCTGCTTTGCTTTGGAATTGACTCCTTGTCACACCATGCCCTCAAACCAAAAACTGCGGTGCCAGCCAGAGGCCCCTGTGAGAGTCCTGCAATCTTGGCCTCCAGAGGCTGGCACTCTGAAGCCCCAAATGCTTGCTGTAGCGAGACAGGCCTTGCCTGGGTCATTTGCCACAAGCAAGTGCCTCCTGGTCAAATTGACCATTCTAGGCAGGAGACTTCCTCGCATGCAGACAGCATTTGGTCACTGAAACCCACTGCATAGTTCATGTTTGGTCCGTAACAGAATGGCTGAAACATTTTTACCATGGAGCTAGGGAGCAGTGAATAAAGTGTAACATCTTTTCTGCCATCGAAATTTTGCATTGGTGTTAGAAGCCACAAAATAAAGTGTGGTACCTGTGCAAAGTTTGCACACATAGTACCATAGCTGGGGTCAATGCGGTAGCTGCAGTACCTCCATTTCTGGTTTACCTTGGAGCAAGACAAGAACCAGGCCTTAGATTTCCAAGAGCAATTCAGCAGTCCCTGCAACTTGATGGGCCACTGTGATACCACTGTGATGTCTTGGGGTCTGCAAATTAGAGTTCAAAATATGCTTTCAGGCACTCCTCCAGCCCCATGCAAAACTCAATCTGTTTCTTAAATTGACCTGTCTCCCTCCTGGAGAACAGGAATGTAGGGCTAAAAACAAAGCAGCAGGAGGAAGTGCTGAAGGGGTTGATCTTGGAGAGAGTGCAAAACACCCCAGCGTCCTATAGCACTTACACTGGGAGAGGAGAGTTTAATTAATTCCCCAAAACACATCCCCACTGACAGTGCCAGAGACTCCAGCTGTGGCAGCCCCACATGTCCTAAAATTAGAGCAAGGCCCCATGTAATTTTAAAAAAAATACATGTTTTATTATACAGTCAAAGTTCTGTGTATTCTGGGTATGCATCCAGCACTGGCTGGGATTTGATGCAGCCATCTCATCTCCAACAATGAGGAATTTTGCACTCTCTCAGTGGAGACCTCAATTTTCCAGTTTTGTAACAACTACAAGCGTGACTTGTTTTTTTAAAACAAACAAACAAAAAAAAGTAGCTGCCTGAGCTAAAATATTCTGAAAGCACCAAGATGGCCTGAAGATCTGGCTTCTCCCCTCCCCAAAATCAAGATCCTCAGCTCATACCACTTCACTAGTCATAGCAAGGCCTTGAGATTTCACACTGGAAAGCCTGAACCTGGTGAGTCGCACTGGAACCTGCCCTGACCCTTACTGCGAGTCCTGAGGGGGCGCCCCTGCCAGCTGCTGGACACCGCTCCCTTCGGCTCCCCCCTCACCGTCCCCTTCACCTTGCTGCTTCTTACCAGCCCAACAGAGGCAGCGGCCTCCACTTCTCTGCCTCCCTGGCGAGACGGGGAGGGCGCCAGGGCCCAGCTCTTGAATCGGTTGCCCTCACAGTCCCAAAGCTTAGCCACTCCCCACCAGTGCTTGGCCGCTTCCCAGCCCGAGCGAGGAGGAGGAGGCGGCAACTGCAGAGGGCCTGCTCTTCCTGTGGGAAAGGTTGCGGGGAGCGGGAAAGGTCCTTTGCGTGCCAGATTGAGGGAGGAGGCAGGAGGGAGGGTGGGAATTCAGGGACCTGCTGTCAGTTCCCTGCCCTTTTCCCACAGCCCAGATGTTAGCTGGCAGCCCAACTGGCACCGTGCTCAGAGCATTCAGGGAGGGAAGCGCAACAGCCAGCTGTGCTGTGGACCTGCATGGTAGGCTGGGAGAAGGACAGGAACAGAGGGATATTTTTACCTCGCTTTTTCAACTACCACAGTCTCAGCATGTGAACGATCCGACACCCGCCCCCTGAGCGATGGGGAAACAGAGGCATCAGGGACTCGGCACCTTGCAAAGAGCAACGCCAAGTGCAACCCAAGAGCCCCTAACAGCTCTCCCACTCCAGCTGCCAGGCAAAACAGACAAGTCGGTGTGCTTCGAGTCGCAATTTACACACTTCCCCGACCTCAGCCCTCTGACCAAGCATAAAGCCAGTCCGAAGCACAACCACCCTGCAGCATTAATACAGCCCAACTCATTGGCAGGTCTGGTCTAATTCAGATTTTTGGCCTGCCCATTGGTAAGATCCTACTTCAAACTGCCGTACCATCTGAAAGTTGATTTTTTTAATTGGGGTTTTTTTTAGAAAGATAAAAGCAACGGTTTATGCTAACGTAGCATGTTAGCTCCTTTAGACTTATTGCCTTCCTTCACATAGGCAGTGGTTACTGAGAACGCTGTTGTCAGCCCTGAGCAGCTGCTCTCCTGGAGAAAGGCCATGGGGCCAAGTACATGGAGAAAGAACAAAGCTGCCTCTGGCAGGCCTCCTTCACTGGTGCTGCCCATGGTTGATTCAGTAGCTGTGCAGGGGCTGGAGGCACTGGATCAACACTGGGCAAAAACTAGAGCAAACTGATGACAAAGGGAGCTTTCTTTCCAAAGCAACACTTTCCTCTGTGTGTATGTTTTCACAATTTTTCTTCCCTTTTGGTGCACCTCCCCTTCTTCTGCCCAGAAGAGAGGGAGACAGGAATGAGGTAGGAATAAGAGATACATGAGATATGAATGAAATACATGAGATAGGAATAAAGTTCCTGCAGCCATTGATCTGGCCGATGGCACTCCCTTCTACCTGTGAACAACTGAAGAAGCCTTCTTCATAGGAAGGGAGTCAAAATAGCATCACTTCTGATGGAGGGGAGCAGAGACAGACTCCAAAGAACATTAGAAGCTAGTTTTAGTTTCCTATGGAGGGGAAGCTTCCCGCTTCACTACAAATAATTGCTTGCACACCTAAAATTTTTGGAATCCTGCCTTCTTACCCACATATACTTCACACATATGCTGCATCCTCCATCCCCTCCCACATTAGAAAGTGTGAGCGTGCCTGGCTGGATGTCAGCGTACACCCACCAGGTAGTATATTGCAGTACCTGAACAGGTATGAGACTGCCAAGTGCATGTTTAGCTGAAGGAACAGATATATGTGGGGAGAGCATGCATCAGGCATGTTCTTCTCCAACAATTGCATACCAGAGACCTGCCTGTCATGGACAGCCCAACACTTCAACATCACCTTACTGGCTACAGAAAAAATCTGGGGATCTAAAAAAAGGTTTTTAGGATAAGCCTGTCTTCCATCAGGATGATCATTTGGGCCAAGCATTTGCAATCTGCTTCCCTGGGCTAGAAAATGTCCTTGCCCTTACCTCCATACTTCACTGAAATTTCTCTTTCTTTGTGATGGAAACAGCAGCCACATAGCGTGGTCCAGCGGCGTCTCTTGGAAGGCAATCTGAACAAGCTGCGGGGTGAGACCAGGGTTCAGTCTGCATGGGTTCAATCTCCACTAGCAAAAGACCAGGATGAAAAGACGGAAAAGGGAGAGGACAGGAGAAAAGAGACTTCACCCCTGCTAATACAGTGCCAGGTAAGGCAACAACATGGTGCTGCTGATTTCACAGTGATGGCAATGCTCAATGAGTTCCAGCTGCCCCACTCCCAAGGGCCATGCTAAGTTATTAATAGCAAAGCCAGCTGCAGCTAGAGAGAGCAGATTTCCTGCATGGATTTTCCTAGAGTTTGAATTCAGTTCTTCCAACAGACAGAGGAAAGCCTTTCCACCACATGCATTCTAGTTGTCCATATTTGAAGATAAATTGCCTTAATCACATCTCCTTTCTTTGGAGGCCAGCTTTCCCCTCATATGAGGTATTTTATAACTGCATACAGAAGCAAGGAATGTCTCCTTATCACTTTAAGACAGGTGCCCCTAGTTGATTTACACTTACTGGTCCAGTCTGATCTGATTCTCTCAGGTGTCAAAGAACCTCCTAAGAAAGTGGCTAACTGCGTCTGCATTAGTGCTGTTGCATTTCTTGATGGAAGCAGTGGTTTTAGCTCTGTTTTCTTCTTATATCCTCCTATATAGCAGAACATGCTCCTCCCTGGTCCCTGTAGGTAAGAAAGCACATCCAAAAGCTGTGCCCCATGAAAGAGGGCCACATGGTTAGAGCTGTTCAGTAATAGGTAGATATAAGACTCACCAAGATATAGACCTGGTATACAAAACCCATTTTAAAGCTGTGTTTATTTCAGTTACCTGCCCTAAAGAACATCTCACATGTTAGAGTGTAAAGTCTACACTTCCAGGAAAAACACATACACCTTTGAAAATTCAGTTGGCACAATTAATTATCATATGAATACAGCCTGGTAAAAAGTCTCTGGAATGTTCAGATGAGGTGTCTCAAGACCTCGCAAAGCCACTGTCTGGTTTGCTTTCCAGCCTTTACTCTTGCAGTTAGGCATTGCTTACCCTGGGTTTTAGACTCTGATGCAGCTAGGTTAACATAACCATATTTGGGAAAACAGACTAGTAGGATGAATGGCTCTTAGTGTAAATTCTCCAAATAGCTGGAGTCTGGTTTTGAGCAAATGAAGGTGTTTCTTTAATCACTGCTCTGTATTGTTCTGTAAGAGGAAATGCAGTGATAAAGAGTGTTCTTTTGCCAGGCATGTACATTGAACAAGGACAGACATGCACAGGTATCACATCCCAGGGGCAGTAGCTAACTCAGGATCAGAGTCCGCTACTCTTTCCTCTTCTGTGTTTCTAATGGACTGTATCCCAGCTGTCACACACATTACATTTTCCTTTGTGGAGGAAGGTTAATGAACATCACAGTCAAGTAAATAGGTGTAATGCTGCACTTAACCCTCCCTGAACTCAGTACCTTCTGAACAGGCATTTCCCTCTTTTTCTGCCCTTCTTAAGAGCCAGTCACTGTTTGTCACACTTAATCTTCTTACATCGAAGGAAGGGAAGCTCTCCTCCCCTTCTTTTTAGTCTTGCTGCTTTTCATGTTCACATTTGTGAACTTCAAAAAGTCTTGCCTGTAAGTAACAGAACTATGGCAGCACTCAAGCTGCTAGTTCATTTTAACCAGAGCGGTGAGCTGGTACCTTCTGGAGAATTTCTTGACTATGGTGTAGTTTTTATTAGAAGTGGAACACGCACGACCCCCAGTGAAGTTTCTTCTCTCTGACAGCAGGTCCCAAGAAAAGATCATCTACCAGCATAAAGCTTCCATTTACACACAGGCAAGTATGCTGAAAATTTCAAAGTGGTAACAAATGCATCACCTGACTAGTAACTGAACTTGACTAGGAAATAAAGATGAAAATATGTAGACTTCAGTGACACAGGGAAATTCAGGCAATAAGTGTTTTCACTTTAAGAGGTTATAGCTGTCCTTTGCCTAAGGCCTTTTTAAGTTTCAGAGATCACAGACAGACTCAGTCTATAATAGTTGTACTGCAGAGTCACTCACCCTCCTGCTTACTTAGGTGGGTTGCTTACAGGGTACTTTAGCAGAATTGCCCCTTTTCATAGAAGTTTTTGCAAAGCACTTTGGAAAGCTTGCCGTGACTGGCACCTGCATCGTAAAATCAAGCTGGTATTTTTTGTGGTGGGGCTTTTCTCTCGTTGACTTGGAAATAGATGCTGAAAGATTCCACTGCTGTCCAAGGCTGCTTTTCCTCTGTGCCAAAGCAACCTGGGATTAATCAACCTTGGTTGCTTAAAGCACCTTCTTGACTTTGGAACTGACATTATTTCAGAAAACAAAGCTCTTTCTTTATAAATGGTGATCCTTGCTGATTCCCTTCCCCTCTTCCTCTTTCTTGGAAATCCCTGTAGTTGACCTTTAGATAAAGACAAATGGTGAGTGGTAGTAACAGACTGAAAGTTCTGAGGCAGAGATGACAGTGGGTACTGTGATGAAAAGTCCTATTAGTCCAAGAAGGCTTGCAGTGCTCATTAGCTGCCTCTGTACTCCATACCTAATCTGCACTGTATTTGTGATATGCTGAACCAAGGACTCTCAGGCTCCTGGTGAGTTCTCTGGGCAAATAGTTAGTAGTATAATTGAAAGGTGGATAGCTGTTGTCAGGCTGCTGGAACTGATAACTGTGCGGGGCTGTTTACCCCTGAATGAGATGAAATGTTGTTTTCTACAGAATAATCACTGTCCTGTTATAACCTAGCAAGTTTCAAACTTGCAACTTTCCCAGCCTGCTATGAAACAAAACTCAAGAACCTGCCTAGTGGTACAGCTTAGGTTTGTTGTCACAACAACATGCTCATGCATCTCAGGTCTGCCTGCTCCCAAAGTGATTACTTAGCAATTGCTATCCATACTCCAGGTCTTCTGTTTCTGAAGAGCCTTTTCTGTATCTGGGCAATTAACAGTTGACCTCTGTGAGCCAGAGGGATGATAACTTTTCCCTGTAGAATCTGTGTTTGTTAATGAGGAAGAGCTGATTCAGCTGGACAGGTGGCAGGTTGCAGTATGGGGAGATGTGGTAGCATACCTGACCTGACGCTCATGGCTAATATACCTGCTTAGGTAGTGAGGAGGCACAGGGAAGCCTCTTCTATGAAGCACAGTACAGAGAATGAGGAGGGAGATGCTTAGCATGTATCTGCACATTGTGCTTTATCTTGCCTGTTGCCTTGTGGCCTTGCTTAGTCTGGCCACAATCCTTCCAGGCAGGGCTGATATGTCAGTGAGGACCAGACAGCACAGACATTACAGAGCTTTAAAAGCAGAACGGGAGGAATTTTGTCACAGAATCAAGGAACGGTTTGGGTTGGAGTGGATCTTAAAGATAATCTAGTTCCAGCCGCCCCGCCATGGGCAGGGATAATGGACTGTCCTCCGGGTCCAGTCAATTTCCAGGCTGTTTTCTCTCTAGAAGCTTGGACTTTGTAATACCAGCTTTTGCCACAAGCATCTGTTGTCATGAGGTAAGGTGGGTTCTCTCCAGTTGGCCTTGGGGACCTATGGACAGGCACTACTCCTAGTCCTGAATGTTTAAACTTGACATGACAGGCAGCCTGGAGCCATGGCAGCAATGTTTTTTCTTGAACAAGCAGAAATATTGCCAAAGTTGGGATCTAGCAAATAGCATGCTTTGCACCGCTTCCCCTTCTGTGAGGCTCTAGCATGCTCCTCCACTTGCTTAAAGCAGATTTGTGCCAAGAGGTGGGAGGCATGCATGAACAAAGGGCAAGAGAGGGTGTGTGCATTCTGGGAACAGGCAGCAGCTCAGGTGGATATCCTACCAGCTCAATCATGTGTGATCTGTATTGCCATGGGTTGGCAGTTCGGGCTGCTCTGCAGTGAAATGGGACTGCTCATTTGCAAAGGAGCTGGGGGAATAGTCCTGTATGAATGTGCAAAGAACTGCTGGGGGCTGGTTTCTCTGTGCTCTGACTCTGTTTCATGAATCTTCCAGCTGGGATCAGGTTGGCTAAGTTTTGTGTTCTCTCAACCTGTGACGTTGTAGCTCTGTGGAAATTTCCATACAATGTACCAAAGAGTAGCCTTCGATTGAATGTAAATGCCAGTGTGGCTGAGACTGTGAGAAGCACATGATATAACAGGGAAGGCATAGTGCTGGCAGCCAGAGATTGAGATATCTGTCTTGGCTTTAGCTTTCCTAAAGTATTTAGCATTATATGCCTCACTTGGGTGTTGTAAAAGTCATAGTATCATAGAATTATTTGGTTGGAAAAGACCTTTAAGATCATCAAGTCCAACCGTACCTGTCCACTACTAAACAAGGTAACTAAGCACCTCATCTACCCATCTTTTAAACACTTCCAGGGGTGGGGACTCGACCACTTCCTTGGGCAGCCTGTTCCAGTGCCTGATAACCCTTCTGGTAAAGAATTTTTTCCTCACACCCAATCTAAACCTCCCCTGGCACAACTTGAGCCCATTTCTTCTTGTCCTATTGCTTGTTACTTGGGAGAAGAGACCAACACCCACCTCACTACATCCTCCTTTCAGGTAGTTGTAGAGAGCAATAAGGTCTCCCTTCAGCCTCCTCTTCTCCAGGCTGAACAACTCCAGTTCACTTAGCTGCTCCTCATCAGACTGGTGCTCTGGACCCCGCAGACTTCCCTATTCCTGCTAGCTTTCCAGCCACTCATCCCCAAGCTTGCAGAATTGCATGGGGTTGTTTTGACCCAAGTGCAGGACCTGGCACTTGGCCTTGTTGAACTTCATACAATTGGCCTCAGCCCATTGATCCAGCCCGTCCAGGTCCCTCTGTAGAGCTTTCCTACCCTCAAGCAGATCAACACTCCCACCCAGATTAGTGTCATCTGCAAGCTTGCTGAGAGTGCATTTGATCCCCTCATCCAGCTTGTTGATAAAGATGTTAAAGAGAACTGGCCCCAACACTGAGCCCTGGGGGACACCACTCACAAGTGACAAGTGTTTGCAGTCACACGGGACTGTTAATTAACAGGACATAATTCTTTATGAATAAGGCATGCTTTTTTACATTAAAGAAGAAAAAGTATAATAAATCACAAGCTGTTGAAAATATACACAGATAGATATTTTCTGTGTAGATACTGCTTGAGCACCACTCTCCTTGTTCATGGATGAGGCCACACATGGTGAATGCTCACTCTTCTAAAACCACTGATGTTATTTAAATATACATCATATATATGTATATGAGTCTTACATGACATGATTCTTGCTGAACTCTGTAAAATAAAATAGCTTGAGACCTCTAGCTCCAGTGGTCTTGCAGTTCTTGAGGATTTCTCAACTAAATGGCCATTCTAGGAATATGGTGTATCTAGATGTTCAGAATGATGAGATTCTCTACACTGATGTCCTGCAGATGCAACTTAGATCAGAGGAAGAGCTCCAAGACAAAACAGACTTGAAGTTTCCAGCATGTGCTCTCTGAGATTGCCTTGAGTGCAATTAGTGCTCAAGTTACTATTGGTGGTGTGTCTGTTTGCAACATTCCAATATTTCTCACAGGAGGTGTTTTCTCCTTTCTCTTTATAGTAACTCACAAATAGCACATTGTTGAAAATGAAATCTTGGAAATATTGGATGTAGTTCTCCGTGATGATTAACCCATGTAATAATTATAAACACATTTAATTAAGAAATTGGAAACTGAGACATTTTCCTTTACCCTACTGGTGCTGCACTGAATCCCTGATGGTCATGCTGATCTGCTTAAGGTGTTCAAAGCATTTAAGCTCATCAGGAATGAGCACAAGGGTAGAGGAGCTGTGGGAGTTCTGCTGCTGTTTCTGAGTGGCTCATAGCACTGAGTGCCGTAGTGAATGGAAGAGAAGGAATCACAGGAAAAATACAAATGATAGCAGGAGGAAAATGAGCTTCCTAAGAGGAAAAGTTTGTGGTTGGTTTTTTTGGGGGGGGATGTTGGTGCAAGCCAGAGCCTTGAAGAACTAGGTCATCAAGAATGGGTGTGGTTAGGCATTATAGGTAGGTGCAAGCCACATTTTGTAGATGGCAGTTATTCCATCTTTTCCAGTTCCTTTCCGAAGTCCTGCTCCTCCTTTTTTTTTTTTTCTGAACATAACTCTTATTGATATCCTTGACAACCCTATTTTTTCAGACCTCTACCATATATGAGACCTGCTGTTACGTCAGCACCTCTGGCCTGCCATTAAGGACCTCTGTGCAGAGGGGACAGAAAACAGATGGCAACCACATCTCCTGTTCCCTTTCAGTGCGAAGGGGTGAAGAAATGAAGTGGGCAAGGCACTGGGGATTGTTCCAGTAAGATCATGCAGAGGTGACTTGGGTGCAGGGCATCCAGTCTCTCCCTTTGCTAGATAAGACCATCTGTGAATATTGTAGTTGTAGTGTTCATGTCATATTTCCTTAAAGAGCTGTCTAGGAACTTAATGTAAGCTCCGCACAAAATAGACACCTCTTGATTAGGTTGTTTCTTGGATTCAAGAGTCACTTGGATGTGTCAGTTATCTTGGGAACTGCCTTAAATCAAAGGTCTTGTCAGGGATGTTTGTCCTGGGTGCTCCTGCTTCTCCCACAGACTTCTCTCTCTGAAAGCTGTTCAGCTGAGAACAGATGTCTAGTCCTGGAACATTGTTCCCTGTGACACCAGAAGAAATGGAGAGAGGAAACCTACAAAGGCTGTAGCACATACTTATATTCCTTAAAAGCTTTTGTCATATCAATTATTGCTCTGTTAATAAACTCCATGTGGGTTTTCTGAACAAATTCATTAGTTATGCATCTTTTGACTGGAATACTGCTAAGTTAAAGTTGCTAATAACAGATAAGTGTCTGGGCAATCAAATACAAATTAAAGAAGACAAATTCAAAAAGAAGCCTTTGGCAGAGGTTTGCAGAGCACTGAGACCATTATTGTCTTGGGTGAATCTCCTGCCTTCTCACTACTGCCTAAAACACCACATCTTTGGCTGTATTGCTAAGGAAGGTCTAAGGGATTGTCACACTTCTGAAGGAGTGGGTATGCCTATTTGAGCCCACAGTAATTATCTGTTGTTGTTTTTTCTAGTGCCAAGGTCAGGTATTGAAAGCGACTGTTAACACTGGGTGTCTACCAAATCTCATCTCCAAGAGCTGTTTAAACCAGCTGGGGTAAGTCTTTGCACATTAGAAAAGGAGGGGTGGCTAAAAGAAGACCTATGAAAAGAATGTAGGCACTCCTGATTCCCAGCCCTGATGATAATTACTAGCAGCTTTGCATGTGCACGTGGCTGTTTAGGAGAAGATGGAGGGTGGGCTACAGGGCAAAGCATCAGGAGCACTGGCAAAGTTGTGTGCAGACCCCAGACAAGGAGGCAGAACTGTGTCATTCTCTCTGTGTGTACTAAAGGGTAAAGCCTCAGCTTTGGTTAGCCTCAGCGGTGAGGAACCCAAATGGACAGCACCTTATGGTTTTGCTTGTGGAATCTGCCTCCAGACATGCTGTACGAAAGAGATTCCTCCTCTTGTAGGCCTGTTCCCAATGAGACCAAGAAGTACTGCCATCAGTGAGAAGTCCTGTTTTTCCTCTTCTTCCTCCACTTGAGGCAATAACACCTCTTGTGTCCCACAGGCTGGAAGAAGTGTCTGCCATGGACTGTGGAGACCTCTCTCTTCCCATCCCCAGCGTTGTTGGCCGAGTAGAACATATGGAGTTGCAATTTGGCCAGGAGACAGTGCTGTGTTCAGCACTGGTTGTAGGTGAGAGTGCCAGTCCCTTCTCTCCCCCAGTTTTCCTGTGTCCCTCTTGCCCTGCCAAGGGCATTTAAAAGGATCTCTGGGAAAGCATAATGCGGTGGGAGGTTGGTGATATGGTCACCTCCACTGCTGGCCAAGATCATTATGCACTGTAGATACCCTCAATGTAACCTAAGGCAAAGGGCATACGAAGAGTACAGAGAAGACAGAAGATGTTGGAAGTGGGGAGAAATTAGGTGCTTTTTGGTCTTAACACAAGATGTGGGAAATTCTCATTCCCTTCTAAAGTAGACCTTTCTTAAAATTATCCAGACTGCTTGATTAGTCCTCTGGTGCCCTCTGTTCTCCTATTGAATGGGCACTTGTGTCTGTGGCTGGACGGAATTCATCAGAGAAAGTGACAGAGGGTACAGGTTATTCCCCAGAGTTTTTCTCTGTGTAGTCATCTGCCTCTGCTGCAGGGAGCACCCTGGAAGAACCTGGTAGCCCCAGAGTGCTGAGTGTCCCTTGGTGTCCTAAGGCAGGACCCTTTGGAGGAAGGTGCCGTAGGAGACAAGGTCAAGTCAGCAGGCACTGGAGCATGCCCAGAAAACAGCAGAAGGGCTGCATGTTCTGCATTTACATCAAGCTGTGCATATGCTGAAAACAACTTAGTTGTCTTTTTTCCCCCCTGTTCTTTCTCCCTATTAGTCTTCCTCTTGCCTTTATCTGTCTCCTCATCTTTGATGATTACTGTTCATCTCCCAAGTCCTCCCTTGCTCCCTCTTTTCATGTCCATTTTTCCCACTTTCCTAGTCATCTAGAAGGAGCGTCCTCTTCTTCCACACTCCAGCTCACTCTTCTTCCCTGGTTTCCCTCTACTTGTTCTTGCCCTGCATGGGGAGACTGTATTAGTACCAGCACAGGTGAATTTAGCCTAGTACCACCTATCCATTTTGCTGGGATGTGGAAATGGCTGCCTGGAAGGAGCAGAATTGCTACATCTGTGCATTACATCTCTCTGTGCACACAGTGCTCTTGCTTATGTGATTATAAACAAATTATAAAATACAGCAGGCATCCAGGAGACATGGGAAGCGTTAATGATGTTACTGGTGGCTGCTGAATCCTGCAGACTCCAGGACCTGGGGATTTGTCCTTCCCTGCCACTGAAGACTCAGGAGGTGGCTCTTGCCCAGTCCAATGCATGTTCTTAGTGGCAGGTTTGGACAGTAGCAAGGCTGAACGTATATTCCAGAGAGGCACAGACAAGGCCAGCCACACAGATTACCACACACAGAGCAGTGCCTTTACCAGCACTCACATAAATGCCAGCACAGATAGCCCAGTCCTGGTCCTCCTCTCTGGCTGACCAGGATTGAAGTTCTCTAGCAGAAGCTCATACAGCCTCAGTCTGTAGGTTCACAAGCCCACTCATATTCACAGAGTCTTTAAATAACAGCACAGCTTGTAGGTCTGTCTTATATCCATGTCTGGACCCTGGGCCCCTTACCTAGCCACTAACCCAGACCCTGAGTCTTTCCAGATGCAGGTTTCCTCTTACTCACTGGCTAGACCAGACTGAAGTTTGCTAGCTAATTATGTATACAAAACCACTAGCATATAGGATTAAATTCAATGACGAAAATATAAACACACCCAAGTCTTTCTAGTTAGTGGCATTTAGATCTCACACATATGCCCTGTCCTCTTCAGCTGCTAGCTTATAAACCTAAGGCCCCTGTGACCCTGGCCAGAGCTAGTACCCAGAGCTCTCTTGAATGCTTATCTCTCCAGTTGCTGGCACCTAGACCTACAAGCTCTGTGACCCATAGTCCTTCTCCAGATACTGGAACTTAGACCTTGCAGCACACACTGCAGTCCTTCCAGTTGCTGGCACCCAGGTGTATGAGCCCTATGGCCTGTGCTCCTTTCCCCAGTTACAGGCACCCAGACCTCTCTTACACCCTGGTCTCTCTAGTTGCTGGCATCTGTGAGCTATAGCCCCTTCTCCAGTTGCTGACACAGACCTATGAGCCCTATGGCCTGTGGTCCCTTCAGTTATTGACACCTGTCTTACATGCCAGTCCCTCTGGTTGCTGACATCTCGAGCTGTTTGCCCTTTAACCTTTGGCATCGTCTACACTTGCTGATGCTTAAGACTTGCAGCAGCCACATGTAGGATAGAGAGGTTACACAGCAAAAAAATATTTAATAAAATTATTTAATAAGAAGATTGGATAGGTTGTGGCCATCAGGCGCAGGGTTCAGTCAGACAAGCGAACTGATCAACAGCCTGCTTGCATGTGACTGGCCCCTTTATTCCCACTCTTTTCCATTTTTCCATGCTTGTTCTTCCCTGATCCAACCTGCTGCTTGCCTTCTGATTTGGCCCTTCCCTTACACAGCCCATAGTAAGTTTTACACAATCTCACAAGCCCCTTTTTGATACCTCATAATAAGTTTCAAACAATCCCACAAATCCCCTCAAATATCTCATGATAATCATGGTTCCCTCCTTCTACCAGCTACAATGTTAATTTTGACTTCAGGGCTGTGCCTAAGTAGCTCCTTTAATGGCTCGTTGGTCAGTGGCAGAAGAGTGCTGGTCTTTGTTTTTGTCACTGTTACCACCTGCTTGTTAATGTTTGTGTGTTTAATTCATCACTTTCCTTGTTATTTACCTTATACTGAATAGACCATTACCATTTAACTTTATGAACCAGATGCTCTCGTATTGCACATCCTCTTACACGAGAGATGCGCTTTCTTTAGAGGTGCATTATATATAGTCTTGAGCCTGATCAGTCTCTTCTCTCTTCTCAGATGATGAAATGCTGGAGTTTTGCATTGGTCTCCAGACTCTGTTGTCTCTCAAGGTAAGGAATAGCTTCTTGCTTATTCCAGAGCTCCTCTCAACAAGTTCTCCAAGATTTGGTTGCTGGAAGCATCAGAAATACTTAGAGACAGGTCTTCCAGGGTGCCACTTGCAATGCTTGTTGCACAGCTGCCTAGCTGGTGGCAGTATGCTCTGAGTCACTGATTCCTTTCCAGTCCTTCTCAAAAGTTTTATGAAAGGAATCACCCAATAGGATACTATCTCATCTCCCATTCTTTGTATTCCTAACCATACAAGTTGCAAACAGATAGAGAAAACTGAAGAGGAGACTAGGAAAGGCAAGGCACACTGTGTCATGAGTTATATCTGTGTTGCCTTTTGAAGGCAGATGTGAACAAGCTCTGTCCTTGCTTTGAGCCAAATGAAGCTGCGTGATCACATTCAGTGTCCAACACCAGCTGGACATGGGTGGAAAGAGGCCTCTCCTTTTGTTAGCTCAGCTTGGGGTTAGCTCTCGGCTGAGCCTGGCTCCTGGGTGGCTCAGAACATGGCTGCAGCAAGCTTGCTCCTGCCTGCCAAATATTTGTAGCCACATGTCAGACTCATAAAGCAGGAAAAGCATTGGGCTGAATGGCTGAGTGATGTGAGGCCACCATCTCAGAGGCAGTCATAGGAAGAAGGGAGGGGAATGGCCCTGCGAAGGGTTTGGAGAGGAATCCACTGAAGGCAATAGGAGCAAGGAGGCAGCATGGGGGACAGGGAGGGGAACTGTAAGGTCTCTACAAACCCAAAGTGGGTTTGTTTGATGGTTATACAGGTTTCCCCCAGTCATAGACATCATGAGATTTGCTATCTGAAATGTCCAGCAAGTAACTGTCTCTTCCTTCTTTAGTGTTGCATCGACTTGGAGGAAGGAGTCCTGAGATTTAAAGCACTGAGTCAAGAGCTGCCTTTTCTACATGCCTCTGAAGAGCCTGGTCAGTGACTGGCTGCATTCCCCATGTGTGGGGCTGATGAGACTTGCTGCCATGAGAGAGAGATGAGGGTGAGGCTCATATGCCCCTAACCTTGCTGAGTTCTAGGCTGAGGCATTCACAGGGGCATTGAGAAAAAGGCAAATGGGTGCTGGAAGCTGCTGTTGCTGGGAATGCCTCATCTTGAGAGCTATCCCTCCTTTCAGTGGACCCTCTTGCTTGTCCCCGTGTGCTGAGTGGGCATTTTGCTCTTGTATTTCTGTCTGTCCCTAGTCACTCCATTCTGCTTCTGTACTAAATTAATTCTACCCTTTTAATGACTTATTTTTACAATACCCTCTGTTCATGAGACAAGAGAGTCTCTCTGAACAATTTCCAGTTGTTCTGTGGACAGGAGGACAGTGCTTTCTCCAAAAGCGTCCAAAGATTGCCATGAATGTTTCCCTTTTCTTTCCCTTGATGTGAGTGGACTCTACTCCCCTTTCTTTGTGGGAAGGGCTCTGCGGCCAGTCCCGTCACCTGTACTCTGGGAAGCTGGATTTTATCACTTTTTGCTGGCTCAGAGCAGAACAGAAGTACATTCTGGGAAAAACCTTGCAGCAAGAACACTTTTAGAGATCTTAATTCTAAGAAACATTTGCAGAAATGCTGAGCGTAGATGCCTGGAGTAGAGTGGACATTCACAGGGGCTTGGGCTTTGCATCGTTGGCCACTAAGCTATATTATATGAATGGCAGTGCTTATCATCTCTTGGTGTATGTAGTAACCAGTCTTGCACACCCTGTTCTTCTGTCCAGGCCTCTCCTCTCTGCAGTCCAGCTGCTAGAGCTACATTCCTATCACCTCTGCTGCATCATCAGAGATCCTGCCACTCAGTTTAAATGCTGCGATGAATTACAGCAACCAGAGTCTTCTGCTCTGTCAGCTCCTTTCTTTCAACTTGAAATCTAGTGATTGGACACAGATACATCATCAGCCTCAAATCCTGGCATCAACTTTGCTACTCCTGCATGAAACAATAACTAGACTTCCTTGCAGTATCAGCTCAGGTCAGAGAATTGTGAATGCATCTGGGATGACCAGAGTGATCATTAAGTCACTTAATTGTTGGGTTTTTTTTAATTTTTTAATTTTTTTTTAAATTTTTTTTAACAAAGCATAGCTGTATGATAAATACATAGTCTATTCTTTACTAGCTCTAGGAAAGGTGCACCAGATCAGGGCTTGTTCCATGCCTCATGACTACTGATTCACTATCCAAACTCTGCACGTCCCTTTGTCCACCCTTAGAGTGTCATGACATCCCCATTTTGCCTGTCTTCCTGAATGAAACTCTGTTGGCTCTCTTCCTTTTTTATCAAGCTGCTCATTGTTTCTGTTGTGCTTCTCAAAGAACTTCTGTATGTATTTCTGCTTTTTTTTCTGTTAGTTCTTTCCTAAATCAGATGCTGTATTCTGTAGTAGTAACACATGCTAGGGACAGCAGAGTGACAGCATGGCCAATACAATTTGTGATGCACTTAGCAGTGTTAGTTGGTGTGACTGGTATCTGCTCCTCCTACAAGCCGCATCAGGCTAGTGACTTTTATTGTTAGTCATTTTATCTTGCAGCTTCTGATTTGTTCCTTGGCTTCTTTGCCATTCTTCTACTTGTGCATCTGATTGATTATTTCTGGCTGCATAAACTGCTTTCCATGAATCTCCTGAATGCCACCAACAGTTTTCTCTTTTATGTCAGGACCCATGTCTACTCGATGAGCCTGTCCTCCAAAGTACCAGTAATTCCTCATGGATTTGTATCACTTGCATGTCTGACTGGGTTCTCAAACCCAGGGGTCTTTAATAGCAGTTCAGACTTGTACTAAACCATCCTGTGTGTCAGCTGGAATCTACGTGGTACCTGGGTCAACTCTGCTCAAAAACCCTTGTTTGTGACAAATGAAACACCTGTTCCTATGTGCAGCAACTCGCCCAGCTTCCAGCTGTCATTGCCCTCTAAACAAGGCATGCGGAACAATAGGAAATAACCTCCTGAATGTGATACCATGTCCTTTACATCTCTATTATTCATTAAATTTTATGATCTATTTAAAAAAAACCTCTAAGTCCTAATGCTAAATATTAAAGCTAACTAAAGCCCTAGACCAAACTCTGAACTGTAGCCATAAACCTGACCCTAAATCTAAATCCCAAAGTAAACCTAACCCAAAATCCTAACCATAAAGTTAACCCCTAAAAAAAACCCTAAACATAACACTAAATCTTAATGCTAACCCTAACCACTAATGCCAGCCCCATAATCCCTAACTCTAACCACCTAACCCCAAATTGTAAACCTAATCCTAAACATAATCCTAAATATAAACCCTAACCCCCCAACCTAACCCTAGTCCCCAACCCTAACCCTAAACTCTAAACCCTAACCCAAACCCTAACTCTATTCCTAAATCTAATCCTAACCACTAAACCTGACCCTAACCCATAGACCTAACTTTGAGCACCTAACCCCGAAAGTTAATCATAAACCTAACCACCTAAATCTAACCCCCAGCCCCGAAACTCTAACCTCATAACCACAACCCTAATCCCAAATACTAAACCTACTGCTAATTCTAACACATAACCCAAACCCCTAACCCTAATAATAAGCCTATCACTAAGCCTAAACCCAAACATAAACATCTAATCCTACCCCTAAACCTAACCGATAAACCTTAACCCTAACCCCAAGCCCTAAATGTTAACCCTAAACCTAACTCTAACCCTTAATACTAACCAAACCCCTTAAACCTAAACCTAATCCCCTTACCCTAAACCTAATCCCATGATCCTAACCCAAAACCCCTAACCATAACTCTTTCTCAAAACCTTAAACCTAACCCAAATCCTATCCCTAACCCCTAACCGTGTCCCTCATCACTAATCCTAACACTTAACATAATCCGTAAATCTAACCCCAACCCTTAACTAAACCTAACCCTAGCGCCTAACATAAACACTAACCACAAAACTTAACCCTAAGGTTAACGCTAATCCTAACCCCTAACCCTGACCATAAACACTAATCCTAGTCCCTGGACCCAAATCCTAAACCCTAACCCAAACTCTCTAAATATAATCACCTAACTCTACCCACATATTCTAATCCCCTAAACCTAATTGCAAAACCCAACCCTAGTCCTAAACCTAATGTTAACTCTAACTCCTAATACTAGGACCTAACCATATCCCCAATGCTAGTCCTAACACCTAAAGCAAACCCTAACTCCTAAACCTAAGGTAAAACCCCTAACTCTAACCTTAACCCCTAATCCTAACCCCTAAACCCTAACCCTAAACTGCTAAATCTAAAACCCTAACTCTAAGCCCCTAACCCTAACCCCCACACCTAACCCTAATCCTAAACTCTAATCCCTAACGCTGACCCTATCCCTAACCTCTATCCCTAAACCCTATCTCTAACGGGCCAATGACCCAGTTTCTTCATTTTCCTGGCTGCTAGCTGCAGCATGGCTTTAATACTTCTACCCCCATAGGCCATGGGACCAGACAAGTAATTAATGTTTGCAAAATGCTCTGAAATCCACAGATGAAGAGACTGTACCAGAGGAAAGAGAAAGGCATATTATGCCTTACCATATCCTATGCCCTAGCCCTCTCTCTTACCCTAATCCTAGCATTCCAGACTGTCTGATGGCTTTTGCCGGTGCCCACAAGGGGCCCCCCTTCCCTCCAGCGTGCCCTAGCGCTTTGGGGTTTGCTTTAGCTTGCAAGGGGCCCTGCTTCTCTCCAGAGTGCCCAAAGCTTTAGCCAGGCTTCGTGGAAGCCTGCAAAGGGACCTTCCTGCCTTCTAGAGTGCTCGGGGCTTTCGCCAGGCTTTGTGAGGTCCTCGAGGGGCCCTGCCTCCCTTCAGAGCACCCCAGGTCTTTCGTTGGGCTTTGCTGATGCCCAGGCAGGCTCTGCTGCCTTCCAGAGTGCCTGACAGCTTTTGCCAGGTTTTGCTGGTGCCCACAAGTGGCTGCCAAGGGAAACGGAGGGCCACCAACAGCTTTCAGTCCTGGTCACTTCTGTGTGGGAGCCCTAGGTGGTGGGTGTGCATTTTGGAGCTGGGCTCTGGTGAGGGGGCAGGCGAGGGTTAGGTGGTAGAGCAAGAGTAGAACCTCAGTGTTGGGGGTGGCTGTGAAAGGGCTGCCTGCCAAAGGGCTGCCAAGGGAAAGTGAGGGCCACCAACAGCTTTCAGTCCTGGCCACTCCTGTGTGAGAGCCAGGCCTGGCAGGTGTTTCAGAGCTGGAATCTGTCTAGGGTGAGGGTCTAGGTAAGTAGTAGTCTTCCTGAACTCAGATTGAAGCCAACAGGAATCTTTCCAATGATTTACAGGGTGCTGGATGGGATCCTACAGAAAACTGGCACGACTTTGAGTTGACAATTCTATTTTGACTAGTGCCTGTCACTTACAGCCCTGCAGATACTTGCACACTTGCTGCTGTTGGAATTCACCAGGTGTTGCTCTTACATGTCAGCCTTCGGCTAACTGCTTTTGCTCACCTTCCTCCTGAAGCCTTTCTGTGATTCACATGCCTCATTTCTCAAATCACCAATAGTTCAGGTTCCTCTGCAAATTAATGTGCTACAGTAGGTGTAAATCACTAGCCCTATCTGTCCCTCTCTTCTTTGCATAATGAATCCTTCTTTGCGTGCTCCTTACCTTCCCCCAAGCAAATCGTTCATTATTCCACACTGGTAAGTGACAAATTTGCTTCTTCCAAAAGGAATTCTTGACTTCTTAGATAATCCTTTTAACACTTTCCTGGTTGCTAACGCTCTCTCACATTGTGCCACTATCTTGCCAGCCTTTCCTCTTTGTTCTTAACGATTCTATGTGTAAATGTAGACTGTGCCACTTGTCAGTCACAGAGAGGGTGTTTCCAAGGAAGTGCTAAATTAGTGTGTGAGCGCTCTTCTTTTCAGCTATGAAATCAGCTCCAGAGCAGAAGACATACTTTTCACCTTCCTCCTGTCCATGTCAGTTGAACATGCAGGTCCACACAGTAAAGGTCTCTTTGACCTGAGGAAACTGTTGCCAACGATTGTCCTGGAACCTCTCCATCAAGTTTTGTTGCAGGCAGAGCTTACAGAAAAAGAAGTTATATGACTAAATGAGAACTGCAGGTCATAACACCATGGCTGACACCTCACTTCAACTCATTCCCTAAATCACAGTCTAATCCTACAGTATCAGTATCGGGTTTCCTCCTCGTCAAACAGAACTCCTGGTGGGTTTCGATCTCCCAAAGTCCCACAGCATTAAATGACATGTTGTTACTGACCTTAACACATGTATTCTGAATTCTTGCCCAAACTGCTGTTTTCTCCACAGACCAGCATTTTCATGTCATTACATGGGAATCCCAGCTTCCATTGTGAAAGACACAAATCTTAGCTTTAAAAGATGTGATTATAAAACAGGACGTACAACATCTCAAAGAAGCAAACTTAACCCCATCTACAATCATGGTAATTTTTAGAAGTCTTCCTATGTTAGGGAACCCAGTAAGTAATTATTAAGCGGGCTAGCAAGGCTGAAGACTGTCTCAATAGTAGTTCCTTTCAGAAAAGCCTATTATACAGATACACTTCTCTACCCCCAATTCCAGTCATCTCTATTGCTTTTGGGGGACAAGGGGAAGGAAGGAGCTATCTAAAGGTCTTTTCCACTGGAGATCAAAAAATGCTAATGCTTTCATATGGAAAGTAGAAATTTAGTACAAACTGCCACCTCAGAGCAGGACATAGGCACATCCTGTATGTGTCTAACACTGGCTTACTCAGGATGAGCCCCATCCCTTCAATCCAGACAATGAAATGTTATTATTTTAGGGATAATCTCTCTGAATCACCTTGGTAGTCAGCTCCTACTAGGGCTACTTTCCAGCAGAGCGGACGCAGCCACTGTGAAACAGTCTGCAGGGAAGCATCTGTCACAGCAAGTCTTTGGAACAGAGAAACAAGTGTTACATGGCTGGTGTGAGATACATCTGGCTGAACCTGCCCAGGGATGGGGAGTGGACTTCTGAAGCCCCTTACAAGGCCTATATGCAAGAGGCAAACCTATCCCAAGAACATGCACTCTGCCAAAGCTATAATTAGGACTATTTCCAGGAGCTTGGGGTCACTTGGTTTTGAATGGAACAGGAGCTCCAGCCATCCACATTCCCAGAGGCCTGCTGCTTCTTTCACTACTAGTGGGTGAGTTATGGAACTGAAAACCACTGGGCCACCTACCTATGTTTGCAGTCAGACACTCCACTGGCAAATGCCAGGATATAACTGAAGAGTTACAGAAATAACTGCATCCAGCAGAGAGATCATAAAAATGAGAGCAGGGATGGCCAGCAGATTTATTATGTCTCAGGAAAATAAAACAACCCCTTCCCTTTATTTTCTTGCTAGTAAATTGAGCATTACAACCAAAGCCATGAATCATTTATCTGCGAACGCCCCCACTGTCTGAGAATGCTGTTGGACTACTCACTTGCTGTGTGCTGGCACTGGGACATACAAACATGTCTTGCAAATCCTGCCCTGTCAAAAAGCTTCCTGGTACCAGTGGGTACATCAATCTGCTACCGAGTAGGATACAGCAAACACTTTCTGCTGTGTGGGAAGGAACAACTTGTAATTTCAACTCTGTAGCTTGCATTGGCTGGCAAGGACAAACAGCAATGAGTTACAATGAATGTAATTCCATCAGTCCAGATACAGAGCCTACACGGCTCCTTCTCCAAGTAGATGTATGCTTCACAGAAAATTGTTGCCAGTGGAAGTAGCCTGAAACACTGACTTGAGGAAGTATTGACTGTAGCCAGCCTATTAATTTGTCACTTTGGAGTTCAGCGCCTGAAAAAAGAAAAGTCATCTTTCAGCCAAGGAACAGTAGAGAAGTTCCAATCAATTCTTCTGTAGACGGTTTTCATTTTCCTTTGTGCACCAGAGGCATAGGAGCAAAATGCATCTGCAAGTTATTATGTGCTGTAAGCAATATAAAACTGTCACAGGAAACCCTCAAATGCTAATATTTTTCCTCTCAAATGGTTTTAAGAGCTGAAAAGTTTTGGGGGACAGATGATATCTAGCATCCGTATCTTCTCACCTCTGCTTTCCACAACACAGCATGCGTGCACTTGCACAGCATACAGCAATGTTATCCTCAAGCCAACAAGAGAAGAGGGCTAGGTTGCACAGGTAGCCCTGTCCAACATTTGCATTGTTTTTGTCTCATTTTCTTTTAAAGACGGTTCATTGGAAAATGTCATCTTTCCTCAATTAACCCTTTCCTGTTTCTTCTCAACTATTAACAGTCCAGCAGTGGATCAATTTGGCCTTCCTTCCTTGGAAATCATTTGACCTGTACAGCAAAGTTTGTTTTGCATAAAACAGTTTCAATCATACAACCACTTGCATCCCCCTTGTGCTTGTGTTGCTAATAAAGGTTTATATTTGGCATGGACAGACAGCATTGAGTTGTTTTATGAGTGTAGACAATCCAGGTTTCTTGTTAGGCCTCAAGAAGGAATTACAGCGGCACTGCAATACCTTTAAGACCCAGCTACCAGATTAGCTCAGCCTGGCCCAACCCTCAGGCAAATAAAATGCTCCAGGCAATTGCAGCTGGAACCTCTGAGGTTCCAGCAGTGGGTCAAGAGATAAAGTACTTCTGTGGAGAACACCTGCCCCACCGAAGTCAAACAACGTTGAGTGGGGCTATGCAGGCACAAGTTGTTGTAGGATTCCACCTGTTTTTGTCAAAGCACACACAGCAGAAGAGCCCCATCGCCTGTGCAGCAGTACCCATACCAGGTTGAGAGAGCCACGACTGAAAACTCAGGTATTACTATTTTCTGTTGCTTATAACCATCCTGCTTCTGTCCCTGGTGGGGGAAGACAGAAGCCACAGAACTGGGGTGGGGGGGACAAGAAAATACACAACCTTAAGTAGAGGAAGAACAGCAGTCTGCGTTCAGGATGAAAGAACAGCATATGCCAAGACACAGGCCTGTTCAGGGACATCACTACAATATAATTTCTGTTGTATGCTTCTGGAAACTGCTCTGCAGAGTCCTGCTCTTCTGTGGTCCCTCTTCATGTCAGTTCCCCCAGTTTGGAAGTGCAAGATTAAAATCAGGTAGCAATAGGGCTAGGTGTTAAGCATCTCAGAATACAGCAAACCCAAACCGTTCAGCCCACCTTTAGGGACATCCGCCTCTCCTCAACTCAGCTGGGACCCAAGAGGAGGTAATAGTAGTAACTGCTACTACTTCACCTGAAGGGAGAATCCTTACTTGTTCTGGTGATCGGGAAGAGCAGCTTTCGGCTTTGGGAAACAAACCTGGAAGGAGCAAGAGCCAATATACTGTGATCTAGTTGACTGATAGCCCCAACAAGACTCATCCTCATTAGGAAAGGACTATGAGACTGATGAGAGCCCAAGGGCTGCAATTTGCCAGAAGCTGTGGCGATTGCCCACTGGGATGGGTGACTGTACATCTCTGAATCATGAGAGCTGACAATTTCTTGATGTTACAGTCCAGAGCTGACAAGCTTCACGACAACTCCTTGCTTTAGGCCATCAGTAGATGGTCCCTATCCCATCAATTCTCCACAGCTGACAAACTCAAGCCCTGCTGCTCTGAAGGCCACTGTTACTAAAGCACTATTATGAGTTAAGAGCTCCTGCCTGAAGGGTCCATTTGTACACAAGCACTTAGTATGACAGGGGAACATTTAAAAACGCTTCTCAGTGAGGTCATTAAAATGGAGAGAAGCTTCCACTGTAGTTACAGAGTCAGAAGACTCAGAGTAGTCTGAGAAGCAAGCTAGCTAGTACAGAGCAGGTCATACCATTTCACTGCTCCATGCTACAACTTTCACTGCTATCAAACAAAGGGGATGGAAGCTGTCCTCTATAAAGCTTATACAAATCTATGGATGGAAAATGCAAAGAAAAGCTAGGGCTTATTATGTAAAGATCCTGCTCTTCTACCACACAGTGCCTTTGACCCAGGGGCAATACACTCCTTTCCTCTGTACAAAGTTCTTTCTCCCTGTTAGGGCTGCCCTTGGATGTTTTGCCGAGTACAGAACAGGTTTTCAACAGCCTACAGGGTCTTTAAATGTTACTGTTTGCTAAAGAGAGATCACTGAATTATATTTGCTTTAATTCAGGCTGCCACAAGGGTGAAGGGACAGCTCCATCCATTATGCACATCTAACAAAACATCACACAATTGAGAGAAGATAATAGATGCAAAACAGCAGGTGAGCCTGCTGCTCCTATCCTAATAAGCTGAGTTAGGCAAGGGGCAAGCTGAGATTGGGAAAAGCAGAACACCAGCAGCAGATGGAAAAGTTCCTGCCTGGGCCTTTGCATACGAGCAGCCTGGGTGAGCAATGGCATTTTCCAGACCCTGCGTACCAGCAAGTGGAACATCACCTCCAGTCCACCTCTTTCAATTGTGCAGGACTCAAAATAGCATGGCACTCTCTACAACAGGGAAGTGTGGCATTTCCACTGCTTGTTATGGAATGTCCAAGCTCTCATGACACCACAGATCCATGGTTAAGACAGAATCCTCTTACTGCTCAGTTCACAGCTGATTTGCTGAGTCACAGCCATCTCTGGGATCACCCTGCCCAAGGAGACAAGCAATGCCTCTTGAGTACAGCTGGTGTTTGCCGGAGCCGTTACCTCTCGACACTTTCTTAGTGCACATTGTGGTTCTTCTCACGTATGTCTCCAGCTCCTCAGAACAGGAGGTGGTTTGTGAGAAACTACTTGGTAGAAGAGCACCAGCAGAGCAAAGGCAAACAATGCCTGGGTCTACTTTAAGAAAATATCTAAATAGGAGAGAAGGCCCTTGCCTGTTCCCTAACTTAGTTCCTTCACCTGCACCATGATCCTGGTAAGAACCCAGAAGTAATCACTACAGCAGTTGTGAGAATAGGCCAAAACAGAGACTAAGCTCAGCTATTCTCTCCACCTATGTCCTCAGTGGTGAATCCTTCACAGTCACCCATAAAGTGCTTTAGCTAGCGAAGAACATGGAAACTGGCAATGGAAGGCCAATGAGCAGGACCCTGGACTCTTGATGTTCTGGTAGCTTCCCCAGCTAAAAGCAAATCCACCCACCACCTTCACTCAAGCCTACAGCCAATCACATCCCTCCACAGAACCTGGCCTGCCTTTCCCTTTGCTGCCTGTTTTTTTCCCATCTTTGTCAAAGCTTCCAGTCTCATCTTAATTAGATGCCCAATTCCAGTCAGAGAAGAGTTTGCGTTGATTAATATTAAAGATGTCAACCTCCACATGACTTGTTATAAGGGATCCTGGATGACAGCGTAGTGGGCAGAGGAGTCTGTTCCAGCAGGGTCCTGACACTGCGAGGGGCTGCTCTGCTCCTGTTTCTCAGGAAAATACAGTGTTTTGTGAATCAGATCTTTGACAGCAGATACATCGCCTCTTTCTACAGAAAAGAGAGACAGACAGTTGTTGGGGATTATCAACAGTATGAAAGCCCTCAAGAAGGTACTTCCTCAAGAAGTACCTGGAACTCTAGTTCCCAGCACATTACCTGCCAGCAGCCCTTCCTCTCTTTTCCTATACATGCTTCACCCTTTCTGCACTCACCCACACCCAGCTGCTGCAGAAGATTCCCAAACTCTGGGTCACAATCCAGGATTTTCAACAGGTTGGTGGACTCCATTCTTTCCAGCTGCACATCCCAGTAGATGTAGATCTTCTGGTTAAAGCTGACATAAACCAGGCAGGGGCTGTTGGTTCCTCCTTTGCATGCATAGAGGCCTGCAGAAAGCAGAAGTGTTGAGATCTGACTACTTCCAAAAGGACAGAGAAAGCGAATAGGCAATTTCTCGTGATGGGGTACCAAAGATGTCAGCAGAAAGCAGCTGGCACCTGGAGTGAGGGGCACAGACACAGACTTGGGTATACGAAGTCCCTTTGAGACAATCCAAGAAAGTCTCTCTAAACTGTTATTAATGCATGGAGCTTGGGGATTTGCAAGCTGCTTCTTGCAGGTCTGAGAGAGGGGACTGAGCAAAGCCAAGGCTCAGGCTGATTCTGTGGGGCTCCTTATCTCCACTTGAGAACAGTTTGGAAGCCTGCAAATTAAAAAAGCATTGAGGAAGACAAGAGACCACTGCAGTACTCCCAAAAAGGACAGGAAAAAACCCTCAAACCATCACAGACAAACCTCAGCATCACCTCCTTTCACCCCTACTTTTCCCAGATGCCACCAGAGGAAAGACTAGCTGAGCCTTCTGTCATATACACACAGGGAAATTATTCCCCACTGCAGATGGGCCAAGGATTCCAAGACTCCCAAAGGGAAGTAGTACCTCTGAGGGAGAAATGCTGTGAGGGCTATCTGTGCAGTCAGACTACCCACCTGCACAGAATGCACTAACATTCTCATCTGCTTGAAATCTGGCAACAGTCCGATTGTGGTCGATGATGTATGTCTGACCATCCCATGCACAGGCGATCACCTCCTCATGCCCATTGCCCTGCAGGAACCACAAGATTGTGTATTAACATAGACATCAACTATTCCCAGAGGCAGTCAAGAATCTTTCCTGCTTGTTCAGAGACAGAACACTAATGTCTGAATAAGATGTCACTTTTGGATGTCTTGTCCAGACATTTTGCACTTGTCCAGTCTTTTTGCACTTGGAGACCATGTGTCTATTCTCTACCATATTCCTTATGTATCATAAGAGCTTGTAGACAATCTGTGTATGAGCAGTGTGCGAAACCATTCAGCTTTGCAATAAGATAAAAGAGCAGCTGGGGGACAAAAAAGTTCATAGCAGGATGCTGGGCTCACTAGGTCAAACAAGGAGACACAACTCAACCTCTTGCAGGTAGACAAACTGACCTGAGTGCAGAATGCACTGGCAGAGTCAGAGCACCCTGAGTGTCATCCTGAGATAATCCTGACTTTTTTCAGCCGAGTCATACTCCCTCTGCCTTTCCTAAATTCATATACACAAAGACATGTTGAGTTTTTGCCTTCATCCCTCCCAGGCCTGTTCACAAGCACTCACAGTAACATCCAGCTTTTCCAGAGCAAACAGCTGGTGATCAACCTGCACAGACCACAGCAGTTTGTCTGCTCCCTCCATGAGTTTCAATGTCCCTGAAGGGAAGAAAAAAAAAAAAAAAAAAGGATTGTCTTGAAAATATTAAAAGGGAGCAAGATGTTTGCTAACTCCTTCAACACTTAGGGTCTGCAGGCAGAAGGTTGGGCCTGTGGTACGGGCTGTGGCTGATAATAGTTAATACAGTCTCAGTTCTGGGAAGGACAGCGGTCCATTATCTTGTCAGTAACTGGGAACAGAGAGGAAAAACAGCAGCAGAACACATCCAATTAGCAGGGCTAAGACAAGGAGAAAACTGCCCAGAATAGGCTTCCAAAGTGCAGTACATCAACAGATCTCACACAAGAAGCAAGTAAACTATTCGCTTCTCACCATGTCCCACAGATCATGTGATCTCAGGACAGCATGTTGACAGGTATCTGCTGAGAGCTGGCTGGCTACCAGCATGGGCATGGCCTCTTGGCTGCTACAACGATACTGGACATTTACCTCACATACCATTTTTCTATCATCCAGAGATACTGGAATGGTACTGGGTGGGGGTGGCTGTGCAAGAGTGGAACATAAACGTGAATCTATCCTCACAGTGTCCTCCAGCCTCAGTAAGGTTCAAGAGTGAACCAGTGAGGCAGGAAGCCTTGCCAGATGCAGAAACTTCAGAGTTCAGGCCCAAAGAATAATCAGTAATTCCCTAGCAGGACATCATTGGGCAGGTGGACATCTGGCCCAAACAGGCTAGGCTACCTATCTGGGAAGAGAGAAGCACAGCATCTTGCCTCCACAGTGTTGGTTTTTGGACAGAAATCCTGCACTCAGCTCATCCAATTCAGTCTTATTGCAGCCTGTCCTATCATTTCTCAGTCAGGGGCACAGCAGAAGAACCTGGCTCCAGGCCTGTGTGAGGTCAGTTCCTCTCTACCAATACTGAAGTTCCAGTATCCATTTCCTTTACTGCTTTTGGAAACAACAAGGACACATCTCTGCTGTGGTTTAGAGACTACTGTCTACATGAATGGCACCGTTGAACTGGCATCTCAGACAGTTGTTTGACCATCAGATAAGCAGACAACTTAGGAGTCCGCAGATCAAAGTTCTAGTTTCACTCTCCATCTCAAGCTTTGTGCCTTTGGGCCAATGAACTAGCTTCTTCATTTTCCTGGCTGCTAGCTGCAGCATGGCTTTAATACTTCTACCCCCATAGGCCATGGGACCAGACAAGTAATTAATGTTTGCAAAATGCTCTGAAATCCACAGATGAAGAGACTGTACCAGAGGAAAGAGAAAGGCAGATATTAGTAACAGATAGAAAACACAACAGGTTTCCTGGAGAGAACAAGCCTGTGCAATCGCAGACCCAATTCAATTAATAATATGTTTCATCATATCCTCATACACAGGCATGTTATCACACACTTGGTTTATGGGGGACTTGCTCAGAGTGACAACTCTTACCTTGGCTCTTGTCTTTGCTTTCATGCCTTCATATAACACATGTCAGCAAAAGGAGTCTTTCAGTCAAATTCTCTTCCCTGACCCAGGAAGCATTTCTGAAGCCCAGCTTCCCCTTCTTTCAAAACCAAAAGCACTGAGCTCCTGGGTGCCCTGCTTTGAATTATGACAGGCCTTGGTCACCCCACAGGCATTTCTTCCAGGATAGTGGTAGGACTTACCATCCAGTGTACAGAGAGCAAAGAGACCTGAGCCACTATTCTCACTGGAACAGCCTGTAAGTGCAGAAAAGAATTACAGGAGTTGATGCTTTTTTATGAGCATTGTGTCCATTTCCTTCCCCCCCCCCAAAAAAAAATAAAATATCCAAACCAAACTGATCCAGCCTGCCTCCTTTTTAGCCCAGCCTTGACACCTTGCTTAACAAATATCTGCAGATTCTTGCAAACAATTGTACTTCATGATGGCTTTTATTTGTAGGGCACCAGCATCTCAAACCCAAGACCTTTGGTTTGCACTGATACAGGCATGTCTGGCTCTGCTGGCTACTCCTATGACTCTGACTGTACCACATATACACTTGCAGGCCCATGGCAGTTCTGGTTTTATTGGACTGCATCACATCCTCTCCAGGCTCCAGAAATGCACAAGCACAGGCAGGGCCATCACAAGGGACAAAGTGACGAACAGGTGAAGCCAAATGAGAATTACAACTGTACCCTCACCACTGTGTCTTTCAAAGATGGAACATGACGTTTGGCTGTTCTGGGAGGGTGCAGGGGAGGGGCGGGGGGGGAAACAAAAAAAAAAAAAAAAAAAAAGAGAAAGAAGTCTTGCCAGAAGGACAAAGCATCAGTCATATTGGCACAAAGACACCTCCATGGCAACTCCTGAATGAGTTTGCAGAGATCACGCTACCAACTCTATTGTTTTCACCACAGCAAAACCGTGCAGAAGCCGTGATCCTCTCCCAGCAAACACTGGTTAGATGCTAGAGAGCCCTTGCTTTATGAGCAGATTAGACTTGTGCCTTCACGTTCATCTACACACTCAGCCCTGTCTTTCCTGGGCTATACTTATACATCTGTGAGTTTCCTGCAAGCAGTATCCTCTCCACAGCCTATATATCACAGTTGTCTGCAGGACAGCAGTGACAAATGTGACTAGCTAAATCTGAAGAGGAAACTCCCCTGATCACCAAGCCGCTTCAGCCCTTCAGGACACTCTCTACCTAGCTACCAGTCAGAAAAGACATGCAAGGTCAGGTTTTGAAAGTGGTACCACACTTGGTGGGAGAGGACTGGAGCTGTATTCAACTACAGCTGCATTTAATCCTTTCAGTGACAATGTAGGAGAGGCACCCACTCCCTGAGGTCTGCACCAACCCAGGAAACCTGGCAGTCAGGGACGAGCCAGCAGAGCTGGAAGCAAATAGACAGTTTCCCCAGAATGATGTAATACTGCAAGCCTACCTCCACTGACCACAGACAACTCCAAGCTACAACACCCTGCACACTCCCAGGACACAGACAACCCTATTTCTGCAGATCAGCTTAAAGCAAACAGTCAGCTGGTTGAATGCTCTATTGCCCCTAGCTGACATTCACCCAGAGTGACTCTGATCCAAAAGATCTGCTGTGTCCCCCTTACAAACTGGCCAGCACAGCACTCTTTAGCTGTTTCATTACTGATGGTCCCACATCAGTGGACTTTTCACAGCCTTCTCATCCTTCATTCTGTGTGCCTTCATTTTTCACTGATACCTTTCATTAGATGCAAAGCTTTGTATGCAGTGAAATAATTGATTTCATGCTCAGTTGACTATGTTGCTCATAGCAGCATCTGAGATACTGAAAACATGACAAGCTTAGGCACTGGGGAAGAAGGGTACTCTGGGGAAATGGAAGACGAGGGGTTTCGGTGGATTGCTCTTCTCCCCCAGCTCTAATTACATTGGACAGCCTAAATTTTCTCAGACAGCACTGCAGGGTGTAATACTTGGACAGAACAAATGCAGCTGCATTCCAGCCAGCTGCAGACAAGAGAAAGTAATCCACACTGGGAATTTTCTGCCTTTTTGTATTTTGCTCACATGCTCCAAGAGAAAGCTGCTTATTCTCCATAGGTACCAAAACAGGGTTCAATGAGTGCACCAGGCACAGGTCAGAGAACAAAGCAGTTACACAAGGGAAGCAGTAGCAGTGTGTAAGAAAAGTCTGGACACAGCAGCAGTGTGTCAGGGCTGAGAGGAGCCAGCAGCTGTGGAGAGTTTAGATACAACAGCTGAACAGAATACATTGGAAGGAAACAGAAATATGGAAGCAGCTCTGGAGGGGTTGGGACTGCACAGGTGAAGGAAGAGCAGGATATAGCTTCGGGAATCAAATGCTGAAAAGTGCCAAAAAAAAAAAAAAAAAATAAAGAGGAGGCTGTGGAAAGGAAGAGATACATCTACAGAATAAGAAACGGGAATAAGCTGCAGCCATGCAAAAGCAAAGATCAAGGACATCTATAGGAGCAAGGCATGGCAGCCACTCAGAATGACTAAATGCAAGCCAGTGAAGGCTGCAGAGAAACTGTTGTGCTAGGTGAAGAGTAAGAGGTACCTAGGGCAGGACAAAAGCTATAAAAAGTTCAAATGCAAATATCCAGCTGTCTTTCTTTGGGAGCTGTCTAACAGAAGCCAAGCTCCCTCTGTTCTTGCAGCTGCCTCAAACTGTTATTTCTCAACCATGGGAAATCTGACTTCACGCTTGACTGACATATTGAAAAACTATCAGGGGCAACTGTTGGGCCAGAGACCCCAAGCTCCTAATGTCTCACCTCGGCCAATGCTACCAATTAGATGAGTGGAAACATTCTTGTTGTGAATCCGTCCAGATGTTTGGTGTAGAATAACATCTCGAATAGGGGCCTCGCTAGGGAAAAGAGAGACAGACATCATGGAAAGGTCACGACGCTTGGGACTGTGCCAGAACAATCTCAAGAGCAGTGTAGTCCAAAGCTCTACAAATCCAGAGATTGATAGTTTGTGCATGAGTCAGCTCTTTAACAGTAAAGACCGAGGAAAAGAATGCATGCCACTCCAGGTATGGAACTCACTAATGTTTAAAACACAAAACCAGAATGATTTGATGCATCAGAAAACCAGAAAGAGCTGAAGGAAAAAAGTCAGTAAAACATGTATTCCAATCAAGAAAAAAAAAAAAAAAAAGGAATTTTTTTATCATTACTGTCACATAAGCCTGGATACTTTTCACTCAGGAAGTGTCTGCCTGGGGTTGAACAGGTTGGTCAGAGATCATGTCTGGGCCTGGCTTCTGACTAGGAGGGGACTGTTCCACTAAGGTCTCCAAGGGACTAGCCTAGCTCCCCTGCTGCTGCAGTTTTCTGGCTCTGCCTTAAAGTCTCACAGAACATCACAGAAGCACCTGAATTCCCCACAAGGGTCCCTCCAGTGCCAAGGGTAATAATCTCACTGCTCATCCTGATTGCTCTGGTTGTGATTTACAGCACTGGCTGCCAGGGGTCTCATTAGTAAAACCTCCAACTACGTCACTTGGAAGAAACGAGTGAATGAACCCAAAGTGTCATCCTGGGCTTCAGGCTAAGTGGGCTTGGCCCAGCCTTTCAGTTGCTACCCTTCCCACCATTAGAGAGGTCACCAGATACTACTGTTTCTCTGGAGATCTAGGTCACTCATTTCCCTGCCTTACCCCCCCAGTACTGCCCCCCTCAGTAAGCTGGTTTTGCCACTCTGCTTTGTGATAGAAGCATGAAGAGTGTTCATGGAAGCTTGGATGCAGGTGGGCTTAAGTCATGAACTCCCAGCACCACAGCAGGTCACTGAAGCAGAACCTCCTCATCTACCCCATGCAGTAATGCTCTTCACCTGCTTTGGGCAGAGTTCTCTCTTCCCTCTGTCATGGCCTGCTGCTCAGAGTCCCAAGTGCACAGCAGAATGGCATAACCGCAGCCTGGCTGAGACACCATCATCTCTGGTGAGCCATCAGGGCCTGGGTTCACAGACAGGCTGTCCACCTATACTGGCAGAGGAAAAACATGGATAGAGTCAAACTGAGAGCTTTAAACACCTCAGAAAGGTTCACTGTGCTCCTTGTACCTAAACTTGAATATGCCAGATCTTCTGACAGAGCTGAGCAGGAGCTGAACAAATTCAGCTAGAAGCAAAACATCCAAGCTACAGTAAAAAGGTTGTTTCCCTACCAAAAGCCACTTGAGAACACACCAGTATTTTCCACTAATGCTCTCTAGTTGGGTGAAAGCAACTGACTGTTTCCCAGACCAACCCACCAGCTGCTCTGCAAGTATAGGACAACCACTGGGTCAATCTTTTCAAGCCATCAATATGACAATTGCTTTGTTCATAGGACTGAGATTTTGTGCTTCTTCCCTTGGGAGAGCCACCTCTTGAAGACTATAGGACAAGTTCTGCTCTGAACAATCTGTTTCCTTACCTGACCTTCTAGCAGCCATTTCTTCAACAGGAGCAGCTGCCCAGAGACATGGTCTGAATTCTCCGACAAGTCCTCCCAGCGGAAGGCACGCACCACCCTGTCAGTGTAACCCACCACCAACTCACACTTCCCATCTCCATCTGCAGGGAATACATGACAACAGATGGGCTCTCTCAGGCTTTCATAGCCCCAAGACCCCCAACATTCAGAAACCACCGTGCTGGTTTCCACCAGGTGGCATCCCTGAGGATCCCAATCCTGTAATTAGAACTTGCACCTCAGGAAAATTCCTGAAGCTCTTGCTTCTCTCCTCCATGACTTGGCTGTGGTTTGTTAGAACACCTGTTTCAGCAAGACAGTAATTACCTTCTGTGAATCCCACACACTTTCTCTCTCTCTCTCCCTCACCACCTCATACCCACAAACTCCCTCACACTGCAGTCCCACACCAGCTTCCCAGCTCACCAATGTCACTGATCAGCATGACCTTGGTGTTGGCAGGAATGTGCTGCTTGAACACTGGCTTCTGCTCTTCTACTGCTGCCAACTCATGGTGGCCTGAAGCATCTGGGTGTTTTGAAGTTGGAGAAGTCAGGTCAAAAAGATGAAACCAGCCTTCTGCACTTACTGCCACCACGAGATTCTAAGAGGGAAGAGAAAAACCTTTTGATTTTTCCTCTTTTAGTAACTGCAGAAGCTGTCCCACAGCAGGGTGAGGAAAGATTATGAGGGCAGATCCACTGAGATCAAGGATTGCTATGAAGGGAACACGAGAAGGTTTTTGGCCAGCATACAAACTACTCAGGTACTGCAGGGTCCAAACTTCTTGTTCATCCTTGTCAGACTAGAATATCAAGCTGATGTGTGCATGCAATTGCCAAACAATGTGTGGTTTTCTCAATGCTCAGTTCAGCTCTGCTCCCCACTGGAGCATGCATAGCTACAGTATTTTAGGCAGGGTGCCTAAACTGGGGCTTTTGGATCCAGTGGTCCTGATTTAACCCCCTGGAATAGCAATCCAGCAAAAGGAGTAGTATTAGACCCAGTGGAATTTGCTTGGGAGTCTAGACTATTCTGTGGCTCAGTCTTGTTTAGATGACCTTAAACACATGCAGCCAAGTGGCAGAAGGGCCATGACCCACAGCAGGGACCAGCACAGAGCAGGGCAAAAGCCACTGAGGAAAAGGAGCAACCCTCAAACCACCAAAGTCTTGTGGTGCTCACACAGGGAGACATGCAAATCAGTAGTGCTTTCTGAAGACAGGGTGGATTTCCTTGCTCACTAAGCCCTGTATATGGCTCACAGACAGATGCAGGTTATATGTAAACAAAATAACAGTTTTAAAACGGTAGTGCTAAAACTGTATGAGCAAGGGCAGATCCTGGAGAGAAAGTACCTGCAACCTGTCCTCCTCCACACTCAGGACATGACATGACCCTAATCTCCTAAGCACCTCCCACATGCCTTACAGACGTGGCTGGGAAGAGTTTGGCTGCTCTCACCTTTCCTTTGTTGCATACATCTCCCACGCCAACACATGTGAGCTGCAAGAGAAAAGGCAGCCATACATGAGAGAAGGCAACGCAAAATAGTACTTTGGGATAAGACTCTGCCCTACCCCCTCCTCTCTCATAAACCACCTATTGAACTCTAAAACAGCCTTTCCAAGGAGAGAGAGAGGAAAGTCAGGGACAGAAACACATCTGCCACACAACCACCCTGGGGCAAAATCCACAGTGCACAGGAGCAGAGCCAAGGTGGGACAGAAGCCCAGTTCCTGTGTTTGTTCAGCACTATGCTCATCACTTCTCACTCATGGGGCTAGCTGTGGGCAAAAGCAGGGTCTTGCAAAACTATGTGAAAGGCATCAGAACCAGTTCTGGCTGCCATTCCCCTCTAACCTACATATTCCTAGGCAGTAGTCAAGGACAGCTGACTGCACATACACCAAAAGGCCCAACCATTTAAAAATTTTGTCAAGAACCAACCATTCCTTGGCAAGATCGCACAGCCCAGGGTTTGCTGTCATCATTCTTGTAAACATAGAGTTTCCCGTTGGTGTCTCCCACCACCAGCTCATTCAGCTGTATAAGAGAATTGGGTTAGTAAGAAGAAAGTTACAATTGCAGTAACAGTATTCCCACACAGCAATAATTACAGAATTCTCTCTAAAAATAACTCTGTAGGAAGAAGCAGCAAAGCAAAACAAGAGTTAAAAAGACAGAATCAATAGAAAAGGTCTGGGAAAAAATAAAAGCCCTATTTTTACTCTTGCAGATAGAAGAGGTGGAGAGTGGCTCCTCAGAGCAACATCCCATTATCCACTGCTTCTCTAGCCACAGTTTCATAGCTGCATCACTGACTGCTTTAACTTTCCCCTCTGCTAATCAGCACCACTCCCCACACCCCCCACATCTTCCATCCTTCAGCCTAGACTGACTTGACCTTTCTTGAACCACCTGATGAAGATGGTGGCAATGAGGAAAATGCAATCATCCAGAAAGAGGTTGCAAGAACACTTACAATAGATTTACACTGGATGTTCAATCTCACTGAGGAAGGGGTAAAGATTTTTCAGAATGGTGATTATTTTTTTAAAGATGACTGCTAAAAATCACCAACCACCCCAGCTGATGAGCCTACTCCTACTATCCCATCTTCTGCATCACACCTCTGTGTATTTAAACTGTGTACATTTCATAACTCCCTGCACATGTTACCCCACGTAACACAGCTTCTCATGGTAAAATCTGTTTTATCAGCTACTGCATAGCTAGCCATGCCACTTTTCAGAATAGCAGGATAGGGCTGTAATAAAATTTTACTGTTGAGGAGAAGGGAGAGTTTACATGTATCTGGTTAAGCTAATATCTTCCTAGTTACCAACAGATCAGAGCCATCAGAAACAACCATTTGTGGGGCTGACAGCGACATTCCCAATGCACACCCACCCATCATATAGGTCAAGATACATTCACACTTGGCTCTACCCTGTTTGCGACCCACCGTGCCCCAGCAAAGCATTTCCCCACACGTCCCCACCACACCGCCACGACAGGAGAGGGTCCCTCAACCCCCCGACTAGCTACACATCATCCAGGGCCCATCCCACGGGTGCCGAGCACGCCTGACGGCGGCGGAAGCACTGACCAGCTGCGGCCCAGCACCACCGAAACGCTCCGTCGGCAAAGGACCCCTGGGAGCCAACTGGCCCAACCCCTGCGCCTCCGACATCGCTCAAGCGCCCGCAGGCTCCGAGTCCCCCCGAGGGCGGAAGCCCCACCGCCTCCTCCCGGCACCTGCTCTGGCACCGCACCA